ATCTGAAAGCTTATAATGAATGCCCTTCCTAGAGGTTCATGGAGTCTCTTCCCCCATGCCCAGGACATACTAACTGTCCAAGAGCCAAAGTTCAACTGTTATCAGGTGACACGATGCTGAAGAAAATTTGCTTTCACCTGCAATCCAAATGGATTCCTGCAGTCACAAAGTCTTCTGAAGGTGCCCACCAAAATCTGGCAACCTGCACTCCCACAGAATATTCAACACATGCTTTACTAAGACCAGTATAGTCTAAAAACTGTTAAGACTGGTTCCACGCTACGCCACCACACAGCAAGCATCAACTTAGATCCTTCCAAGCACCATCAAATGCACCAGTGACCATCGCTCAACTGACCCAAACCTATGACGAATTGTCTCCTCTGCATCTCCCTCCACAACCATCTGAGGACCACCTCAGCCAAAACAGCCTGGCTACATATAGAAAGCAATCACACACTTCCTCAGGATACTCAGAAGCACCAAGTGCAAACAGAAAAAATCAGTGGCAGCCTGTATGGATGCTGTAAGGGTGGCCAAGACCTTTTTAGCCAAGATTCAAGAATCTTAATCCATGATGATTGATCAAATCGAGCTCAAGACCCAAGTTACAACTGTTCTCTACTCCTCCTAATCCTTTGTTGCCATTTAGCTATAAGCTATGGTGATGGTACTAGTGAAGTGCTTGAAATAGGCAATACCAAGGGATTCAACTCTTAAAGTATGCAACACACCAAAACAAACAAGGGGCTGTATATGTAAGTAAGTGAAAGAATGAGATGTTTAAGCTCTAGTAAAGACACCCCACGGTTTCAGAATGCCCTAAATACATTATTAAACACCTAATTTCAAACTGTCTAACCAAATCTTCTCCACGCTTATTTTCCATTCTGAGATGCTGTAATTTCCTTCACATTCTTCTTATTATACAGATCTTAAACTTATTTCATAAGTCGATATAAGAATCTAACAGACTTTCACCCCAATGACTTCAAGTCATAGCAAGTAGCTATGATCTCTGTGAAGAGCAGATAGGTTCTTTCCTCTGTCTCCCCAATCCAGCCTTGGTGGCGGTGGTGATTTGTATTAAATAGAACAAATAGAACAAAACCAAAAGCACAACATACAAGATAACTGGTAGCAACTAGGAGTCTAGTGCGGGGAGAGTCAGTTTCTCAGGGGGTGAGAGAGGGCTAAGCCCCCAATCCCAATAAGCAACTTCAGATCTGTTTCTACTTAGTGAGCGAAAGTCTTCCATAGAGTGAAAGGAATGAACCTCTTGTCAAATTCTGCAAGAAGCGTAAGTTCACCCTGTTGAAGCCTGTCCATGTTACCATGAATGAACTCTGTGCTCACACACACAGTTCTATTTTATCTTCGCAACAGTAACTGGGCAAACCCAATTCAACAAAGGCTCGCAAGAATCTCCTGAAAATGAACTTGTTTGCCAAAATCTTTCAATGTTTGTAAGAATCATCATGTTCAAATGAAAACTACAGGCACGTCGACCTCCTTTTGAGACCTGCTGCATCTCCAAGCTGAACTAGGCATATGTGAGCACACTGGCTGCATCCGTTGGCACATGCTCCCAGCATCACAAGTCTGAAGATGCGCTTCAGCAATGTTTCATTTCAAAACAAAAGAAAAAATGCATGAAGAAGACTATATTTTCTGCCTTGCCATTTTAGGATGCATTTATAGTTTATAATGCAACATGCTGTACTTGCTTCATCACAGCAAAAGCTGTGTGGCAGAGGAATCACACCTTCAGCTGGTTCACAAGCAGTAAGCAGTTAAGTGACTGTGTGAGCTAAAAGATTCTGTCATGTGAACTACGTATGAAAATAACTGAAACTATCGCTTCCAACATGCTCTTACATCGACAGTACTGCTCATCACAAGAAGATTTGAGTGTAAAAAGTGAATTTTAAAGGGTACTTTAAAGTAACATTTTTTCCGTGATGATGGATGCTCCTTTCTTATTTCCATCTGTTGCGCATTTTCCATACCAAAAGTGAGCCTAGTCCATTGGGCTTGTACCTTGTTCCTGCAGCTCCGATTTCTACATCAAAGCACAGTGTGGCCTGCTACTGCTTCGAAAAGCAGTAGAAGCATCCAGCAAGTTTCTCACTTTGTGAAGGTCTGTGAGGATGCCAGCAGGAATGACTGCATGTTATGGATTAGCAGAACAGAAAGCACATAAGAGCAGTGAAAAAGAAACAGTGAAGTAAAAGAGACAAACATAGGAAGTTTGGGAAGCTCAATTTTTTGTTCTTACTTTGATGTGAGCTTGGTTACATCAAGAACGGTTAGATACAGAAAAAAAAAAGTGTATGAGACTATGAATTAATTTTAGTTTCCTGACCCTTACATGGAACTAGCATCACTGACAGGTATTAAGGACTCATCAGGCTTCACAACCAAAAGCACGCTGAGAGGAGCTGCCTGATCAGCCAATAGGAACTGCCAGTGACAAAGACGTGCCCAAAATCCTGCCTCTCTCCACAGCTTGCAAATGTTGTCCTGGAATTACACAGTTATGTCCTTTATTCCTTTAAAGAAATAACAGGCATTATTCTTTCCCTACAAACATAACAAAAGGAGGAGCTGGAAATGCTAAGTCCCTTTTTAATACAGTGTTACTACAACGGGAATGCTCAGTCTTCGCTCAGGAGAAACAGACACTCTTTCCTACCACCCCGAAATCCACCTCTCACCAGGCAGGCTGATGATGAAGCTGTTCCCACTAGAACACGCAGAGAAACCACATGTGGGAAAGGAATCAAGTACATGCCACGACCCAGTGGGTACACAGGCGAGTGGGAACCTGACCTGAAAGCTGACAATGGTTAAATAAAGCAAGCAGTTCTTGGGTTTGAACCCGATTCTAATAAGTGGGCTGTAAAGTCATGTTCCCTCCTTCGCTGCCTCTCCAGGCCATGAATATTTAATTCTTTTATGCAAACTGGAAGAGTTGCAATGCAAGGTTAAATTAGCCTAAATAACCTTGAAATCCTTTTGTGAAGTTGGGCCTCTGAGTCAACTCCCGATCTGGAGAGAAATAACTTTGTTACACAACGAGTTCTGTTGTTGGCTATATTTAAAACACTGTGTGGTACAAAGACAAAATCTTGAGGTTAGATTTGATTTGCCAGAATGTATACCATTGGTTCACCTTCCTATGCTAAGATCCATGGTTTAGACAGTTCAATTATTTAAGGTTTGTGCCTCATTTTTGAATGCAAAATTCTTCCTGGGAAAAGGAATCAGTTACAGGATTCTCAAAGTTGTATTTAATAACACAACACACACACTTGCTCGCAACTTTTGCTGCTCTGTAAGTGCAAACTGAGCTTTTTCTTCTGCTTTATTTTGCTCCCTATACAATAGCTACAGGTAGACACCAAGGCAGCGTCTCATCCCTGTGTCATAAAGCAACCAAAACAAACAGAGGTCTGGAAGCCTGACAGGGCTACTAAGTTTCACTTTTAATTCTCACAGTACTTTATGAACTTCCTTTAACTCCTAACCCTACAAATGGCTTGCATGGCTGGAGTCAGTGCAGAGAAGCTGTGTCTCAGTGGTCAGCCTATGCAAAAACAGTTTCATGAGCTCTCTCCAGAGGAAAAGAAAAAAAAGATTATTCTTCACCCTGCCAGCTAATCTTTGAAATCTGGAAACCGTAGATGCTTGCATTTTAAGAGGTAGAAATAAGAAAGAATGTTTGAAAATCCTTATTAGTAAAATCTTTATGAGGGTAATGTGTACGCTTATTGTTACAAATGCTGTTCTAGCACTTGAATGATTTGTCTATACAGAAAAATAAATATCCAACACAACTACTACTAGATTGGAACTCAGCAGTGGAAGTAATAAGGTCGTTTTTTAAATGCCTAAGAACTTAAGCAGACACTCAGAAGCTAGCACAATGGCACAAATGATGCTGAACGCCACAGCACAGCTGCCTGTTACATCTTTCTTACAGGTCACTGACCACTGACTTTGGTCCTAGAAATTGATTTTTCCACAATGTTAGCAACAGTAGGAATTCTACAACAAACAGATATTCTGATTCAGCCTCAAGATGTGTCACTGCCCCCCCACCATATTAGTCTATGCCACCTTGCTTGAGACTTCACCTGCTGTCTCTAGCTCACAAGTAGGTAAGCACTGAATCAGATCATCTCCTAAGGTCCTAAACCAAGTTTACAAACTCAGTCTTCCATTTCTAACAGCATCAAATTAATTATTTGGAATTAATAGATCTAGTATTTAAAACAGCAAGGCCTGTTCTGTGACACACTTCTTCAAGTCCAACAGTACCGAGCTAGCAACAACAATATAAGGAAAGTTTTTGAACATTTCTCTACTATAAAACAACTGTTAGACTGGAAAAACAAACAAACAGAAATTGAACACCACAAATCAGACTCATTACTGTTGGGTTTTTTCCACTCCCTGTTACAAAGTTACCAATAATCTATACCTTTCATTCATCATCTGCTTACAACTTGAAGCAGCATTGTTACTCTTGAGATGAACTGTGCTGTTAATGGGCTTTTGCTAATCACAGGTGAAAGGTCACTCTCATTTAGGAGTACCCTAACAAATAAACATTAACACATGGCCATGACAGAGTAAAGGTATCAGTGTTCAAGCACTGACAGTGATTACACTAAAAGTCAAAATGTTTTAGCTCAAGAGAAAATATCAGTGCTGTTCACACAGCTTCCTTTTAGTCTTATTTGTAGTTTTAAATAATAATCCAAAGAGAAATACTGTAAAGACAACAAGTAACCCCTGCCCTACCTTGTAGTTTTGAGATTATATATTAATTTAATAACAATGCTAATGACACCACTCACTGACAGGCCGCAAGTCCCAAATCCAAAGCGATAGGATTGAAGTCTCTCTTCTCTTTCCCACACACGTCCTCTCATAACTCGTTACGAGAAGAAAAACTTCTCAGTGCACTTCTTTTCATGACTGAATCAACTCACCTTCTCGGCAAAGTCGCATTGCTTCTCGGTTCCGGCCGTATTCCTTGAAACTTTCTTCTAACGCCGTTCCTAAAACCGAAAAGCCACAAGATGTCAACGCGCACACAAGTCCGAGAGCAGAACTGACCCCTCCGCTACTGACCGCCCGTTCCCCCGCGGGAACAAACCGGTAACTCAGGAATAGGCGCTCCAGTCGCTGCCGCAATAAGCACGGCTTCCTAGAGCCTGACGCCTCTCGTCCCGTCCCCAGCAGCGGAGCCGCTGTCACGGCGGGGGGCTGCCTCACCTCAGCCGGGACCTGCCCCCGCCCCAGGCCGGGGCTCAATCGGGGGCAGGAGCAACCGGCCTCCGGGGACCGGCTCAGACCTCCCAGCACCGTGTCCCGGATTAAAGGAACTGGGGCAAAGCGTTCCTCACCCCGCGCCGCGCCCGAGCCCAGGGACCGCACACCGGACAACGAACTCGGCCGCGACATTAGGGGGAAGCGCGACGGGAGCAGAAACGGACACAACCGCCTCCTAGGGCCCGGTCCCCGCGGCGCCCTCCGGCCGGGCACCCTGCCGCGCCGCACCGAGGGCAACCCCCCCCACTACAAACCAGGCCGGTAGAACGGTTGAGGATGGGGGGGGTAGGGGTGGTGGTGGAAGTGAGGCTTGGCGGCCACTCACCGTCGTTCCCGTGAAGTTTAGCAGCATCGACCCAATGGCTCCAGGGTTGCCCCAGCATCGCCTCGGGGCTGGGCAGGGACCTGCGCTCTCCGACGGCCGCCATTGCCGCTGCGGTGGCGGCGGGGCCGGCGCCGCTCCCGCCTCCGCCTCCGCCTCCTCCTCCTTCGCCGTGGCGGGGCCGCCGCTGCCGCTGCCTAACCGCCGCCGCGCTGCGCTGCTCCCTCCTGACGTCACCCGCGGCCCGCGCCGACATTCTTTCCGCTGCTATAGAACGTAACGAGAGGGTGGGGGGGAGGGGGGGAAGTCATCGGGAGCTTTTTAAGGTGGCGCCGCGCTCTTTAAGGAAGCGCCGAGGCGATGACAACCAGCTTTAATGGCTTTTAACCCCTTTTCCCTCTTCTCCTCTAGGAAACTCTATAGGGAAGGCGTCCACTCACCTCAGCGGCGGCCCATGGGGAAGGAGCCGGGCTCCCATTATTGTACTGGGAAGCGCTCCCTTTCCTCTTTATTGCGCTAACAAAGCGGCGGAAGGGAGCTGGGATAAAGGAGGGTTATACCGTCCTCCAGGCGCTTCCCGGCTCCATGGGCCGCTCTTTCTCAAGCCTCACCGCGACCCTACAAAAACAACGGCCGCATCACAACCCCGCCTGGCACCGGGGAGAAGGGGGGACGGAAAGGAGGAACGCGACGCTGAAGGAGGCGTGACGCGCAAAAGCGGCTCCTCCCCGCTTGACCGGTCCACCTTAAATGCGGTGCCTCCTTAAAGGCAGCGGAGAGCAGGAAACGAGTTCTCGGCGGGTGGAGGCCCGATCCCCGTCCCCCCCCCGAAGGCCCGGGGACCCAGGCGTTGGAGGGGGGGGGGACGGGGCCGGGCCTCCGCGTTCGTTCTCCTAGTAACCTGTCTCAGGGGGAGGTCTTGTCATTGATATTCCACGTTTCTTTTTACCCAACAGTGTTTTGGTTGTGTTTTATTTCCCTAAACTTTGGAATAAAAGCTCGGATTAAAGGATCTTTTCGTGCTTGGCAACTCCTAGTTACGAAGTTTAAGCAAAATCGAGTTATTTGCTAAAAAACATCCCAGAACTCATTACGAGAAGGAAATTTATTATAGTTTCTAAACTGTAGATTCTAACCCCCAATTTATTACAGGGCTCTCTCTTCGATAGAATAAAAAGTTCTAGTAACAACGTAAAATAAATTTGCAAAGGTTTATGGCCACACTTGATGCTGCCGTCAGTGCCAGCATCACAGAATCATAGAATAGTAAGGGTTTGAAAGGACCTTAAAATAATCTAGTTCCAACCCCCCCTGCCATGGGCAGGAATGCCTCACACTAAACCGTGTCACCCAAGACTCCATCCAACCTGGCCTTGAACACTGCCAGGGATGGAGCATTCACAGCATCCTCAACAAAATAGCTAAAATCTTAGAAAAAAAGTAACTTGCTGGTTCCTCAGCCCATGTGTAGTACGTGTAAGCACAGGACTCAAACTGCTTACAGATCCCATATGTGCATTTGCAAAACCAGGCAACAGAAATCAAAGATGTAAATAAATCTGTTTAGGCTACAAGGTCCCAGTCCTGCAGAGGGGTGTATACATGCAGGCTTAGTAAAGGCTTCACTGGTTTCCTTTAAAGTGTGGAACTATACAAGCTACAGATCATAGAATCATGGAACGGTTTGGGTTGGAAGGCTTAAAGCTCATCCAGTTCCAACCCCTGCTGTGGGCAGGGACACCTTCCACAAGAGTAGGTTGCTCCAAGCCCCGTCCAACTTGGCCTTGGACACTGATAGAGATAGGACAGCCACAGCTTCTCTGGGCACCCTGTACCAGCGCCTCACCACACTCACTGTAAAGAACTTCCTTGTATCTAATCTAAATCTACCATCTTTCATCTGTTTCTTCCCAAATTCTTGCATATAGAAGATGCAGAAATATGAGTTCATCAGACAATCATCATATGGGATCGGCTGTCATTGTAAGAACAGTTTCAGTGTTCCACTCAACTGATAATTTATGTCACACTCGGAATGCATCTTGTAGAATTGTAGATCTAATACAGAATCTTGTCTTGATCACTGCAAATCTAAGTTAACTCCCTAATAAAAGGCAAACACCAACAGATGTATAGAGCAACAATGATTCCTGCTGCAGACATCTGTAGTAGGGTTAATTAACAAAGGCTATCAATTTCTGAAGCTCAGCCTTGACCTTTCAGACAATTACACTCTTAACTGTACTGCAGCTTCCCAAAACAGTGAAATAATTCCTCCTCTTAGTTTAAGCACGAGTGAAGATGTTTATGGAACTAGAATCTAAAGACAAAAGATGAATGATGGGCATTATTGCTTGATTAATTATCAAACTATATGCTTTGTAATACAGAAAGCTACTTAAAATCAAAGCTGAGAACATGATTGGAAAAAAAATGTGAGGCGCTAAACAGTTCCTGGACAGAGCTTTTTTTGCAGTGTAGAAGCCAGATAGGAAAAAAAAAAAATAAAAATCATGATTTCCTTCAAGCTTAGCTCTTCAAATGCTCCACAAATGGAGTCTAACAACATCCATACTGAATTCTGACTCCAGCCATAGGATAAGGCATGTTACAGACAGAACTATATTTTCTGTGTCAAATAATCTGGTTTACGTTACAAACTTCACTCATACAGCTCCCCTGTAGTCTGGAGAAAGCAGACAGAAAAAGCTGCCTCAGCTGCAGTTTGGAAAAGAGTCCTTGATACATCCGAGTGTCCATCAAATTTATAAAGGCTTTTCCTATTATTTATTTTGCATAGATCATAAAGCACATACAGTGACGGGTGACCAGGCAGAGCCACAGAACACCATCATATACCTTTTAATAGTGATCAGATTTTACCAAGGTTTATCAATTTAACATTCACACATCACATGGTTCTTTTCTTTAAATATTACTGATAGATGTATGTCAAATCACACAAAAGTTCAACAGCCTCATTTGACAGAATCACACTAATCAGCCAACTACTTTAACCAACTAGTGCATCAGCAACTCTTCAGTTTCTCAGGTTGACACTCCTTAAGTTAATCAAAAGCACCTCTTGCTTTAAAAGTGCCAAGCAGGTAAAGCACACACCTCTGTTCTTTCATGCAACTTTGATTATCCCTTCTCACTCTTATTTTTTGCCCTTTCAAACTGGTTGTTACATTTTTCTCCCTCACTCTTTCACAGCTTTTGTTATTTCTTCCCTATATATTCCCACTCAAAATCTAATTCTGCAGCCTGGGCCTCAGGCTGTCCTTCCGTAATCCTTCTTCCACTAGTATTTTCCCTATGTATTGTGAATACATCAGTATTCCAGCAGAGGGAGGAAAAGTGGCAGCAGAATCATCAGTGCATCAGCTCAATGCACAAGACAGATCACTCAGAGAGCAGGAACAGGGCAGATGAAAATGTGATTTTACACGGCCTGGAAGTGGAGAGAATTTTCTTTTCCCACAAACTGACCAGGTTGAATATGTACTTGGGTTGTTTTAAGCACACAAGTTCAATTCTCTTAAATTGTTTCCATAGTGCTACACATGGATGCATTGATGATTTTAGGGAAAATAGGGAAAACCCCTGAAAATCCATGATGTTAGTAGGAGATCAGAATTGAAAATACATGTACACACTGTAGGCTTTGAACAGAAATTATTATTACAAATCTGAGACATCCAGGTGAGGAGGATGCTCATCCAGAGCCCCCTGGGCAATCAGCAGAGAGTCAGGGTAGTTTTCAGATTAGTTTGGTTCTTCCTGGTCCAAAACATTTTTGAAGAAGCCCTTCTCTTCCTGCTGGCCACAGAAGCAGTCATAGATGACCATGCACATAAATTAGGCACCTGCATTAGGTACCCAAAGTTAAGTTGGATGAATCTAGTTAGGAGTGGGAAGAACACTGGTGTGAAAAGCACTCCCTAGAAGCCAATGTTCCTTTAAGAGAACATAAAGGGGTCCAGAAATGCTAGTTTGAAGGCCTTAGCTGAGGAATGAAAACAGCTTCAGAATCAGGACTGAGACAGTGTGCGAATAACCATGAACTACTCCTGTGTGTGAACGTGAACAGGTGTTCAGAGAATGGAGAGAAGAAACAAGATCAGTTAAGTCAGATAGACAGTGGGAAAGGAAATGTGAGGCAGGAAAGCAGCAGCAAACTGTGGATGATGTGGAGAAAGCAGCCAAATAATGGGGTGAAGAAAGCATAAACAAAAAATATAACACAGCCTGCAAAATGAAAGAAAGGAGTCAAGAAGAGGAAACCAATTATACAAAAAAGGAAAACCTACAGTATTAAACCTCACTAAATAGATTTAACAATGTAACGTACGTGGTTAGTGGTACTATGATTGAATGTATGCTGACAAACTGCATACAACGACTGCTTAAAGCTGTACGTGTACCACCAGGTTTCTTTTTTTTTTTTGCCAGAGGGACTGGTAAAGCCATCCAAACAGGCAGCACTTACTTCAGCTGCTCAGTTACAACCTGTAAGACAGCCTGTGTATGGGACCTGAGATACGGTTAACACTTAACTGGAATGAAAAGGGAAGGATGAATCTGTAGCTGAACTCTTAAAAACAGAAGCACAACAATACGATTCACTGATGAGTTTCCACAATGGAAATGAAAGAAGACAAGAACTGAAGTGCAAAGGGAGAGGGAGGAGAACCTATGAGGGTGTTGCTTTATCAGTACTCAAAAGAAAAATAGTTAATTCACAACAAAGTCTGTCAAGGAAAATATCTGAGGGGCATTAAAGAAAATAAAAAAATGTTATTTCTAGCCACAAGGTATGAAATGATCAAGAAGGGCTTAAGAACCAAGAACAAATATTATTAGTGAAGACTTGTTGGCAGGTAAGATTCAGAATGAAATGACAACTCAAGCAGCTGATACACTGAAGTTCTGACCCTCTGCCAGCTCCTACTGACAGCGGTACAACGGGGAGTACAGACCGTGCATTTTAAAGTACGTCCCTGGTACAAGAACTGTAAGAATATAATTGGGCAAGTGAGGAAGCAAGACATAAAATGTTCATATAAACCAGAACAGACAGAGCTGGGAAAACTATCTGCCATTCAAAACAGACTATTTCATTCTGCTACAGAAAAATACTAATACATAAAGAAAAATGCATTATGGTAATCTGTAGCTCACCCTCACCTCCACTGAAATCAACCAACTTCTCCCTCTATAACTATACACAAGACTGTGATTCCCCAGAACAACAATCATAAGCAGCACACAATAAAAAAATTACACAACAAGCCATGCCAGTCTGTTATCCTTTCTCCCCCAGATCCTGGCTTCAGGTTGATATGTGTAATTTCATTGATGAGTAATACTTCAAAGGGGGAGTCAAAGATGCTCAGAAGTGCTGGAATACAGCTACTTTAAATACTGGAATATAAAATTACTGTGGGTAACTCTTATAAACCACCTGTACCAGGGAAGATAACAATATTGTTAAGATTTGAAGATTTAGAAGTATCCTTTTCTGAGGTGAAAAAATGGGAGAATATAGGTCAATAAATGTAAGTAAATCTGCAAAGAATTCTGCATTAGGATAAAAAGGCAACAGATGCCCCGTATGTTTATCCAAGCATTACAGTGACTATACTGAA